CAGGGCTAAAAGTACTTCTTGATCTGACTCAACAGTACAGCATAACTCTGCCTAAAACCAGATCATATTATTAGGCTCAAGGGTCAAATATAGGAAAAGTATGACATCAGATGATTTTACAGCCTATTAGCTTTACGTTCTATTAAATTCCATAAATAGTTATATGTTTTAAGAAAATGGTGTTACCGCTTTCTTCCAGTGAAAACACTTCATTTAATGGAGAAGCTATCATTGTTCATAGTCACTTCTAATATATGAAAGTTCTACAGAAGCAAGAGCTCACATTACAGAATGATGAAACATTACCTGTGCATGAAGTTTGCATATCTTACACTTTTTCCATGCAGTATATTATGTTTTTACCAAATATCTGTTAGCGTCTGTGTAGCATCTCAGAATGAATCCTGACTACTTTTTGTTTCAGATTAAAAATGCTTGGATGAGACTGTTCTGAAGAACAGTGTGGCACAGGGGGCTGGTTTCTCTGGCTATGGAGAACAGAATGTCAGGTATGCTAATTACTGAGTGACTGAGCACACAGGCATTCCTAACACACAGTGGTGTCTGCTACAGAGCAGAAGAAAGATCTTTGTACTCCCCATGAAATCAGTACAGGTCTGCTAATTTCAGCACAGTTATCAAGCCTGCTGACATAAGGCCACAAAATCAAGACTTCATGTCACACTGGGACCAAACTTAAGGCATGTGTAATAAAGGAATTAAATAAGTCTTGAAAGGTGCTCAAATCTGCTGGACAAGGTTGTTTCACAACCCAAGAGATCACAGTTTGATCTGCTTTTCAAAGAGAACACACAAATGGAAACTACAAGGAAGGACCAATTGTTAATATAATTACAAAACTTTCCAAACATTTTTCCTTCAGAAGCATAGAAAAGGAAATTTATTTATTAAAATTAATGATATTTTTTGTCTCAGAGGGAGCTGTCCTTACCAGATCAGTTAAAACAGAATGTATCACTGGAAGTGGATATGGATCAAAACATAACTGAGAGAGCTAAAAATGCAAGTACTTAGAAAATAATGTGACGTAAAAGACACAAAAAGACGTTGTGATTTTTCTCCATAATTTTATTGAAATTTTAGTCACAATCACCCAACCTTATTATGCAAAAGAGTCAGTTCAGTAGAGACCCATGGCCTTGAACGCCGTGCACCCCGTGCAGAGAAAGGCAACACCTCCGGGCCTGCAGGCTGAGCCAAAAACCAAGGGATGGTTTCCTAGTGCCTCCCTGTGTTGCGAACACAGTAGTGCACGGACAACCCTTCCACGTGGGCAGAACAGCTGCTGTTTGGGGCTGCTGCTCAGGCACTGTACAGTATCTGTTCGTGGGTTTTTAATCTCAGGTCCTCCTCTACGACATGCTCCGCTAAACACTTTCATTCATCACGGCTGAATAACAAGAAGAGACATTGATCATATAGCAAAATAATATTTACTTGCAATCCCAGTAAACAAGGTAGAAATGCCAGTAGGTTTGGCTAAACAGTTAAAAAAAAATGAAGTAATGTTTGGCAGCAAATCATTCAAGCAGTATTTGTCATCTGTAAATTATTACTCAAAAGGAAGAGCATGTAATCGGTGTGTTTGATTTACCCAGTAGCAAACTCGGTGGCAGACATACCTGTATCCTTAAGGAGTTTGGCTAGCAACAGTTTGTGTACAAGTAGCTACTTTGTAGTAGCTGATTCACAACGGGCCAGTCTTGCCTTAAATTGTAAACAATTTATTGTCCCAAACTTGTACTGTAACAGGACACTAAAACTGTACACATCCATAATGTCAAGAAAAGGTGTGTATAAATTTTTCCATCATCTCTGCACAATTGTTATTCCTATTCCTGCTTATAGTCAGAATTATCAATACGGTTCTCCACTATTTTAATAACACCTCTAATCTAATGCACCTGGTATGTCCTTACAAGGGAAATATTTCTCTGTGGTTTTCACCATGGGAACGTTCTGATTGTCAGTGATCACTCTGTTGGGGCAAGAAAGGTTTTGAAGCATTTTGACATGAAACTCTATCAGAATAAACGTTCAAAAGCTGGAAATATCAATTACAATTTACATTTAGTGATGTTTGAAAATGCTCAGTGGTAGTGTAAATTACAGAACATCCACCAGAGGGAAGATCTTGCATTCATTTAGAGTAAAATAAATAATTTGAAGGATGAGAGAAACACACACCTGATATTTAAGGCAAAGCAAATACTGTTTAAAGTGTTTCATAGCAGTAGAATGGACTTTTTGAGCTTGGCAAGTTTTCAGAAGTTATTTGCCTATCTAAAAGTAACAGACTTACAGAAAGTTTCCTGTATTGATCACTGATTTATTGCACTACATATAATATACATGCACACAAAAAACTAAAAATTGCTTGGTTTTTTAACTTACAGATGCAGCATAATTTCACTGCTGTGATGAAGTAGACCAGAGCTTCTGTGGTCCGAAGTCCAAATGCATTCATACATTAAAGCCCACCCACATGTGGTCACTAGAGTGAGTAAAATACTGAAATGTTTAGACACTGTTGTTTTTAGCAGTTATTGACTACACTATGTTGCTCCCCTGTTAATGGAAATATTTGCTAAATTGTCCATAAAGTTTGTGTACTACTAATTTAAATTTGATAAATAACAGTCAGACATTTTTAGAGAATATTAAAGACAGCTTACAGTCTGAAGGTTTCATAGTGATCCAGCAGCTACATAGAGCTGCTCAGAAACATGCTCTTGAGCTAACGTTAACTCTAATGTCTGAGATATTTAGTTTAATAGCCTGACTTCAGAGACCTACTCAAGGAAATCTTAGCAGTTCAACACTTCCCTGGGATTCTTCTGAAACAGAAATTCCAGATTGTGGTTGCAATTCAGAGATTAATTTGTTTTCTTGTTTAAATGAAAGACACAGGCAGAGGCCATCTGGCAAGCAAATTTCAACTCAAGTGGAGAAACATATTTCTGGAAAATGTAAGGCCAGATGCTTCAAAAGTTCAACCACATCCATACCCTACTGGATTAGAACTATACTTATACCAATGGCTGTTCACACAACTGCTCTTTTCCACCAGAATTTTTACCAAAAAAATCCTACAGAGATGTCACACAATGGTACAGAACATGCGGGTCCTTTTAGAGATCCTTGGTAGAATGAGGACTGGGCACAAGATTGTAGCTACAATTAGAGCTTTATTATGACATAAAAAATTCACTTTTCAGCATACCTTATTGTTATCTACAATTTCTAGCAGTTAGTGTATCTTACTACTATACAGGATTTTTAGCAATTATCCCAGCTTTCAGTAAAGCAGAATATCTAGTAATCAATGTAGCTTTCTTTACTATCTAGAGTCTTTGGTTATGTAGGCTTTTAGTCACCTGAGCCCTCTGCAATTGAGGTCAAAGTCTTGATAATCAGTGTGTGACACAACAATCATAATCTAGATTGACTTTACTTAAAGAACCAGCCAGTCCCTGCAGCACTGAGTAACAAGAGATTCCGAGCATCTATCCTAGATTATCTTTTACCAATAAAAATCTACAAGTTTGTTCAATCTAGATATTCCACTGGCAACGAACTAAAAATAGTCTATGAAGGTACTTCTGGAGAAATAATGTGTGTAAATGTGATTTCAATAGAAGAGATACTGACCAGCACTTCCTCCCATTAGTTTTTATAAGTCGTTTACAGAAATTCCCTTCAGAATACAAACAACTTGTTTCATGTTTTCCCTTACCTGATATTCATTAAGTATAGTTAAAAATGAAAGGAACTGGAATCATGTATCAGATTAAATCCCAATTAAAATCTGTATTACACAAATAGTATTTTGAAGATATAATACTTAACTTCAGTGGGGTTATTCTGGATTTGCTTTTGATCTCATTATACTCTTATGGGAGCAAAACCGGCTAAGCTGCTTTGGGGGTGCTGATGCTGCAATCCTTTTTCTATGGTGAAAAATACTTTTTGACTAAATACTATGCACTACATTTGCCAGGTTTGTAAAATTAGGGAAATAATTTGTATCACGTTCTTAAATTTAAGAAAGCTATAAAGTTTCTGTGAACTTTTTTTTTGGTAAATACCCTTCCAGTTCCACTTCTTGAATATTTCTGTCGGCTTTGCTGTTCTAGTTCCTCCTTTAATATTTTAGAAATGAACTTCAAAACTTGTTTTGAAATCAGGATAACAAAATAGTTTCATACTCTTTGGCCAAACTCAGAAGAGTTTAGGATTTCAGTACTACACTGACTACCAAGTTTTCTAGAAAAAATCATAAAAGTCATAGCCCATTGCTGGCACAGCAGGACAGTAATGTAATCATGTATTTTCTCTCTGACATGAAGCATTTGCTCCTTTAACTCTACATCCAGACTGAATATTCTGATGGTTATTTTTTTGTAAAGAACTGCAATTTCACAGAGAATTAGAAACACAGCTCCTACCCACTTTATTGTACCAGTACAGTACAGAGAGTTGATTTCCCTTATGCCAAGGTATTTCTAAAATATTGACAGTTTTCTACTGAATTAAAAAAGAGGACATGAAGGTAGTAAGCACAATTCTTTGTGCTTTAAAATTCATGTCAAATATATAATGGACATTTGTAGTTTACCTGCCACCCTGCTTTTTTGGTTTTTATAAAATGAAATACCAAGCTATTCATAGGAGCAAGAATAGAATAGCTGAAAAAGAGTTTCTTTCTCCGCACAGCTGTTGATTAAATCAGTAACATCAAAAGAGCAGCAAGTTTCCTTAAATAGGGGCACTTTAGAAAGACCACCAATATGCCATAAAATTTGCTGAGTGCAATGGATGTATAACTAACAGCAAAGTCAGGTCCCACACTGTGTTTTTACTTTTGCTTTATATGCAAAAATACCCATCCTCCTAAACCACAGGAACTGCCATATGTCAGATGTCTGTAAGTGTGAGCATGAGGATGTGAGCTCATAGTCTGTATTAGCCTTCAGAACATCAGTTAGAGGAGAACTTTTAAGTAGTTCACCAACACCTGCAGAATAAAAGCAGAGCATAGAGCAACCAAGAACAGAAGAATCTCCAGAATGAGTGAAGCTGAGGAAAGCAGTGGCACCTCAACATGGAATATTGTGAGGTCAGTAGTCTGCATAATACTGGGCTTGTCATTTATAATTGGCACCCCTGGAAACTGCATAGTCATCTGGACTGTTTGTACAAAAATGAAGACAGTATCTCTTTCAGTCCTGCTGATCTTGAACCTGGCCATTGCTGATGTCCTTGTACTGATCACTTTACCAATTTGGATTTACTCTTTTGCTGAGTCATGGGTTTTTGGAGTAATTTTCTGCAAAGTGCTGGTTTTCATTATTTACTGTAGCATGTATGCCAGTATATTTCTGATTACAGCACTTAGCTTGGAGCGGCTACTGGCTGTGTTTTATCCTTTCACAATTCAAACATACAGAAGAAAAGAAAAAATTTCTTTGATTGTGTTCCTCATTTGGTTCCTGTCTATTGCCTTTGGCATTTCTGTCATCCCGTTTCAAGAGACAGAAGAAACAAACGGTCGACTTCTATGCACGTGTCGCAACTACTCTTCTAATAGACAGAAAGTGTCGTATCTTCTGCTGGAGACCCTTGCAGGTTTTGTAATCCCTTTCTTAATTATTTGCACTTGTTATGTGTGTGTTGCAAGAAGGATAAGCAGAATGACTTACCAATCCAAGCAGCGATCGGAACGTCTCATTGCCAGTATTGTGGTGGCTTTCATTCTGTGCTGGTTCCCTCACCATCTCTTTAACATTCTGGATGTTATTTCAATTGAAATAGAACTCTCTAATGAGGAGATGTCTTTGGCACTGGAAGAAATCGTAGACAAAGGAGTGTACATCTCTGGAGCACTTGTATTCATCAGTAGCTGTATTAACCCTCTGCTTTATGCTTTTGCTGCACGAAGGTTTCAGAACCACCTGAGGTTTGCCAAGATATCAAAACTGTTTGAACAGATCAGTCAGACTGTAACAGAAGAAGACAAGAAAAGAAGTCTGGCTGTAACCAAACATGAAGAACCCCTAGTAGGCACAGAAAATCTCTAACAAGGAGCTGACTGAATAATCTGTGTCATTGCTTCTGCAGTCCTTTCTCCCCGCTCTCAGTTCCGTTTACTGAGTGGTCCAGGGAAAGCTGGAGAGAAAGAAAAGCTTTTTGGGTTTTTTCCTTCTGCGTTTTATAAGAATTGACATTAGCAAACTTGTTCAGTACATAGGTTAACATTCACATCATGAAATGAGCACTGTTGCTGAGAACCTCAGCAAGGTGGCTAAAAGCTCACATTGTAAGGAATACAGCATTTTTACTTTCCATCAAACTTATTTCTGATTTCTGTAAAGTCTGTATGCAAAAAACAGTAAAGAACTGCATGTGGAAAAGAGAGACTTTGAAAGCTTAAAACTAAGTTTTTCTTCAGGAAATAATTTGTTACATGTTCAAAAATCCTTTTACAATCTAAAGTTTTAAGAAATTAAATTCTTTATATGGGTAAGAATGGTTTTAAAGTATAATAATGACACAAAGCTCTTCTGGGTCAATGGAAAATTTAAAGCTATTTTTATTCATTACTTTATTTAGGTTTGAACTTAATAAGAGTTGTTTACACAAGCTCATTTACTGCATTATCTTGGGGTAGTAGGTATGAACAAGTCAAACGTGGAGTGTGACACCCAGAAGCAGCAAGAGGTATGAGAACTGTGTTGTATGGCAAACATCACTGCAGACTGTATGCTACATTTGATGGCAAACACATTGCATACTTCAACGGCAATTTGATGTATTAAATATATATACTTCGAGTATCCTCCAAAATTTTGATTCAAAGAAGTTAGACTTCCAAGATGTCTATTGAATTGGGGAAGAATCAGATCAGGTTCAGGTGAGGAGGAAGGAAAGATCCTTTTTATTATTTTTGATGTGTAAGAAAATTATGGTAGTAGTACAAAGTCTCTCATATCATAAGAACTTCACCTTGCAAATAAAAGCTTTTATAAAATCGTGGACTTTGCCATAAGAAACCAATAAAATTAGCATTTGCAAGGGCTTTAATTTTGTGAATGCATGTAAACTCACTGTGAAAAATTTCGTGGCATCAAGTGTTTGCTTTTGAAGTTTTATTTATTTCAATTGTACCTAACATTTTTTATACTTGCTTAGTAAATTCTTAAGTCAATAATTTGTAATAAGATTAAGATTACTACTGATTATGAAGCATATTGTGATTTCACATTCCTTGTTCTGGACAGCTGCTAAATAGCTACATTACTCATCTTTACAAAGAAATTACAAATACTAACCATAAATTAATTTTTGAAGTCTGATTGTGTCACAGTGAAGGGTATGTGAGTTGTATTAATTTAGCTTGTAAACTGAAATAAACATGGGAACTAAAATCCTTAGCTGCTAATGGAAGAATATTTCTCTAAACTTGCATATGTGTTTGTTATTCCTGCTTCTTATCAGAAAGCATTTTTTCTCTTGTATAGGAGAAAAGTCCACAGCACAGAAGGTTTTCCTTCAATAGGACTCCTTCACTGAAATTAAAGAAAACTTTAGCAATATCTTGTTTGCAGCAAGTAGTAAGCAACAGATGAAACCTTTTAGACTTTACCCCATCCTTTACCTACCAGTCTTTTTCACCCCTCTAATGGCTTTTAATTGCTATAGGACATTTAATATAGAAATGTGAGATTATCTCACAAAAAAAGCAGTGGTTTCAGTTATCTACTCATAAAAAAGTGAAGCTGTATTTCCCAATATGTTCTTGAGATAGGAATCACTCACTATTCAACAACAACACCACAGAACAGAGGAGATTTACTATCTCATGAGCACATGAGCACTGCAACTGAACTTCTAGGCCACAAGGAGTCAAGCATTTCACAACTTCTAGGTGAGAAAACACCCAGGCAAACTTTAGTACAAGCTGACTGACCAGTATTTTCCTTTCTGTGAGTCTGTGCATTAATTTTCTGCCTCGTTACTAATTTTTTATATTTTTTCCACTGCTTTTTACTCACAGTACTGAAGTCCTTGTAGATCAGGAGGTCCATCAAGGAGCTAGATCTGTCCCTCTCAATTTCTTATTAATGGCCTTGGTTCTACCTCCACTAGGCAGTCATCTCTAAGAACTGTGTTTCTTTTGAAGGCTGTTTGAGAAGTATTAGAACATACAGGAATCTTAACTAATTCAATGTTTATGTAAATAGAGATAATTCTTGCAAATGTTGGTATGAACAGTTAAAATTCTCACTGATTTAATATTTTTGTCAATACATCAGTCATGTAGCTGGGAGCATAAGAGTCCACCTAAAAATACAAGCAGATTACTTGGTTGTTCTTGGTTGCTGCTTCGTTGAGCAGGTACACATCAGGCCTGGCAATGCAGCCAGATTTAGCACTTCATCAGTGCTGACATGCTCTCACATCCATCTGTTGTTCAAGCTACATCAAAATAGTGACTTCCTAGAAACATGAGATACGATCAGATTCTCCTGAGAAAATAGAGGCTTCATGTCATTTGAGTTCCTCCTTTTCTTTTCTTTTCTTTTCTTACTTCGTAACCCTTTTGCCCTTGTTTATGAAGTCTGCTCTGTGGTTTCAGTGTCCTGCTATTTCTCATGACACAGCAAGGCAGAAGGCTGAGCTAAGAGAGGCCACTTCAGTCACTGAGTCAAATCACCTCAGACTACACTGAAGTACAGGGAACATGATGTGGAGTCAGTGCAAAACTGCTTAGAACATGAAGTACTAGGTAACCAGATAGTTTGAATTTCTCACATTTGTAAAAATTAATAATCTTCTAACATTAATCTGTTAACATTTCAGTATTTCCCAGCCTGAAACTTGCTGTGAACATTCTATGGGTTTACATCAGGATTTTTTTCACATTTACTGTAGCAGTAGGATCATGCTGCTTAAAGTGGATGCATTAAATTGTATTAAATGGATTGAAGGAAAGCCTGAGGAATTTTTAGTTCATACAGCCAATATACAAGAAGGATAGAAAAGGACATAAAGAAAAAGCATCAGCCTTACACTATTTGTTGCTTGTTGACATCAAAATGTTTATGTAAGCATCATGGTAAAAGAGTTATGACAGATATTTGGATCAAAACAATAGAAGTTTGTGAATATTTACAGTCAACTTGTAATTTAAGGAGTAGCACAAGGGAAATCAGAGATCCTTATTTGTGAGCAGAAATAGGGAAACTGCATTATAACAAAGAAAAAAAAAATTTTTAAACCACCAGAACATTTTCTAGGAAGTAGAGCAGTAGACACATTTTGAAGACAGTTAAGGCTGCAGTAACGGAACTCTTAGGGTTACAATTAACAGGACTAAATGAAAAAATTGCCTACAATGCCTGGGTGAAAGGAATAACCTGGAAGATAACAGATTGCACAGAAACAACATAGGAATGCAAATTCTTTCACATTCAAGCAAAAGTCTGATTAAGAATAAATGTTTTAGAAAATGCAGAAGTAGCAAATATTAACAGTGGTGAAGGTTTTCTCTACAGATTAGTGCACAGCTCTTGTATTATTGCCTTTTCTGCGTATATTGGGAAAAAGGAAGACAAACAAAAAATGATTGGGTTTTTTGAGTGGAAAAACGTGAGAAGTAAGTTAGTCAAGATTACTACTAATAACATGGACTTAAAATGAAACTGAGAAGTTCAGCCATGAAAGCTGAGTATAGAAAGAGAACAGACAGGGAAGTGAAAACTACTCAGTTGCAACAAAGCTTCAGATTTTTGTGAATGCTTTCTTGTCAGGTCAGTTAATCACTAAAACAGCTCTTTATTAGAAAACTCAGTGTGATCCACACTGGTGGTCAATAGGTTAAAAGAATCCAATAAACCAAAAAAGAAAAAAAAATCCAATAAATCAGAGTTTAGAGAGACATAAGCCTGTCCTCTGAGAGGGTGAGAAGCTTATGCTGCTCCAGTTAGTATTAAGAGCTGGGTGTGACTGTGGTGTGACTAAGGGCTATGATGAGGGGGACACCAAGATTTCAGAAACTTTACAGCACTGTTTACAGCCCTAAGAAAGTTCTTGCACTGGTAGGTATGGAGATAAGAGAGTTGTATACTATTGAATTTCTTTGTGTCTTCTTTCCCATTTAATCAAATGTGCTAAAAATCTTGTGGATGGTTCTTAGTAAGATTCAACATTTTAAAATATATTGAAGTTGAAGAAATGTTCAGATTAGAAGAAAAATTTTATTATGGAATTTGTCAAGTCAGTGAAAATAGCTGTGTGAAGATCACTTTTAGTCACTGCATCTCTGATGCTATGGGAATATATTACAGTGTAGGCATTCTGAAATCATGTTGCAGATTCAATACCTTAACTCTACTACATAATTTCTAGTGTTATTGTATTATTAACATTTACTGTAGAATTCATGGTGAACTTGGTGAGTAGTATCAGAAACTTAGAAGTCATGGACACTTTTTTAAACATTGCAACTAATGAGTTACATTAGTGCTTGTTAGATTTAAAACTACAGCCACAGACCTTCAGCTGTGCTGTAGAAGGAAACATTATGTATTTAAATCTGAGGGAAGCATTTAGCAGTGCAGGTTTTTTACATGCCTTGTTCTCTCCTGCCACCATGTGGCTTTTCCATTTTAAAAAGTTAGGTTTAATTTTAGTACTCTGGAAGTCACTGAAACAAGCAGTGAAAAACTTTGTTGGTTGTTTTAATTGTGAACCATATTTAAGGTTTAGGTCATTGAGACAGAAATGTTCACCAAAAAACCCACAATAATATACTAAGCATTCAACTTCATTTCAAAGTGCTCTAGTTCATCTCTTTCTTGCTTTTCAGGAGCCTAAACTCACATTGTTTCAAATACTGCATAAATTAGCAAGCTGAGAATGTCTGACAGAATGTAATTGCCTCATGCCAGTTTGTGAGAAGTTTATGCTGGAAACAGCTTCTCCCTGCCCCCCCAGCAAAATCATCAATAAGCATGTTGAGCTGGACCTTAACTTGGAGTGGCTCACATCTCCTGCCAGGTGATACTGATTTCTAGGTTTTTGGTAGTTTTGAGATGTTCTCAAAAAGTTTCAAAAAGACTTGACTTCCTTGAGGTTAAAATTCGAAATGGTTCTTGCCGTCTTAAAGATATCCATGATAAGAAAATTGCAAAAGCTTTGCCATTAAGAAAGTCAGAGAAGTGTTAGAAATAAAGCACAAAGCAGAATCAGTAGATTTGGTTTCAAATACCCTTATTCTCTATTGCAATATTTAGTTTCTGTATATAATGGTTTTGGTGTCTTTGAACAAGACTGGGCCTAATCCTCTTACATTTGTCATGTTGAATAGCATTACACTAATTGATTAATCCTACTTTTTAAATTATTAGAAGAAACTGATTTTGCTGAAGAACTTCTCATAGCACTTCTAGGACGAAGACATAATGAATTAAAGGTTTCTACCCAGTAACCATTTCCCTAAATATCCATCCTATCCCAAGATTTGCATTGTATATTGCACTAAAATCCAACTATTTTATGTTACACAACTTATTTTGTTCTTTGACAACTAAAGTAAAATGAAAATTGAAGATTTTCTGCCTCTGGGTTCACTCCAGGCTCATGTTTTTGGTTATGGGCAGATGAGGCTGGCCCAAGGATGAAGCCAAGGAATCAATCTGTATGTCAGATTCAAGGAATCAATATGTAAGGTCAGGATCAGGATCAGGTCCATTGAGAATAAGCATCATCAGAACCAGCCAGTGATGACCCAGCAGGACCACAGTGGTCAGTCAGGGTCACGTCAGGATAGGTCAGGACCTGTAGCAACAAGGTACATGGCCAAGCACAGGCATAGCCAGGGCAGAGCTCAAATGGGCACTCCAACAACACAGGTCAAGTAAGGGGTGAAATTCCAGGCCTGGCTTCCTATGGACTCCCAAGCCCAGCGGCAGAGTCTGTGGAGTGGAGCATCATTAAGAGTAACTAGAGCAACCAGGGACCAGATACATTTCCAACAGCAATGGAAACACAAAGAAGAAGAACAGGAAAATGCAAATTATTCAAGGAATAATGTCCCCATGCCACAATTGACATTTTATGTAATGGCTTAAGCTAGGCAACTTTGTAAAAAGTGGGGGAGCTTACTAGAAAAAATGATGTTGTTTTTACACTTTAACATTTCAAGGTTGCTATTTTTTCACTTTTACTTACAGTTTTAATATGTAATATTAACATTAATATTACAAATAATTTAATTTATATTTAATTTATGTATAATTTTATATGATCTTTAATTTTACAAATTAAGAAGAATTATAAGAACTTCAGAGTATTTTTCCTCCGTGTGACCCTTTTTCTTCCCTTGATTCTTCAAGTTTCATCATGGT